AGTAATAGTGTCTCTTTCAAAGCTGCACCTGGGAAAGCCACAAGAACCTGCTTTTGGTTTTCTACTGGGGTCAACCTCTCATTTTTACTGGTGTTTCTCATTACAATTCTCCTATCAGTAAATGTGGAGTAACCTAGTTGGAGCTTAGCAAAATGCTGATCATAAAAGACAGAGTGCTTTTGTTTAGGACACAATTGCCAAAGAACCAATCGCATTCACTGGGTGATTACCCCAGGTTCAACTATTTGACTTTTATAGTCATAAATCATACGCCGACGGTAGCTACAGCTTTCCCAGAAAAGTTAAATACCTCAATGTGTCTGGGTTTCAGTACACATTATTGTCAGCTGCATTAATTAGAGATTTTTTAGTACAAACAAGTATAGAGAAGAAAACAAATGTAGCCCATTATTCCACAGCTCAGATGTCAATAAAACAAATAAATAAATATACTCAGGCCTAGCAAATTCACACTGGATAGAAGGACATGGAAAAAAAGGAATAACCTTCCTTTTGCCCTACCCCTCTTTTCCCCTAACCTAGAACCTACTTTCCGCCACTATCTGTATGGCTCGCTTCAGGTATGTAGGCTAAGATCATCTTTTCATTAACGCCTTCCCTAGTGCTTTTTTAAGGGGCAGGATGTTATCCTACCCACTTTCTTGCTTTGTAACTCATCATAACACTTAACCACCATCTAAGATACTTTACATTTGACTTACTTTGTATGCATTTTCTGTCTTTCCCCGACTAGAATGCAAGTTCCATGACAAAAGGGATTTTTATTTTTTACTATTCTTTAATGGTGATATCTTCAGAGCTAGAACAATACCTGGTTCATGGTAAGCACTCAATAAATACTTGAACGAACTGATATTGTATCTTGTGAAACTCAGACGGATGACTGGGGTTGAAGCATTACCTACCATTATGAGTACATCTTGTTAGCCAAAGTTTAAAACCGTACATGATACTATTAGTAGTACCAATGTATTACTTCTCGAATTTTCCACATTCAGTACCAGATCTGAGATACATTCCATTATTCAAGTTCTGGTTTTCATTTTCTTTCTAGATGAAAGAATTTGTTGGTTCCACTCTCTTGCTGTCATGGCAGAACTAGTGTAGTTTTGAGATCAGCACATTTTTCCAATAAACTTTCAATCACAATACAGATATTAACAAGCTAAAAAGTCCTGCCCAGTTTTATGCAAATTCCATCAATCCTGTATCCTCTTAGCCCTCCCAGCTGACCCCCAATAAAAGTGGAATATTCTTCCTTTTTATGTTTGTGATATATGCTGAAAAGAGAAAATTAGACAAAATATTGATCCAAGGCCTTTGGCCTGGAGAATATTGAACTAATTTAATCCATTTTCCCTACATTCATTGTTGCTTTCACTTTACTGCAGCATTAAATTTAAGTTCCATATTCATAAGTGTATGGTTCAGAAAAGTTATGCAGAAAATATTTTTAAAACATTACCTTTCAAAATTTTATGTTATTTGGAGGTTTTTTTTTTTTTAGTATTAACCCTTACAAATGCTGATGATGTTAGACAACTGTGAACCAGACTCAGACATCTTTTCCTGTTATTTCCATGTTTGGTCAGATTTTACAAAATAGGAAGCCTCCAACTTTCATTGCCAGGTCTTCAGAAACCCAGACCATGTGCTTTTTCCCTTTCTCTATAGCAAACTTTTTTAAGTATAGTAACACAATGCAAGACAACTTGAACTCATCTACCTTTAGGAGCATTTCATTCTTAAATTCAACATCTCTTTTGACTCCTCTGAAAGAATTAGCATTACTGATTTTTTTCATTTAGGATCCCTCCAGCAGCCTCTGGGACAGAAGTGACAGAGCCAGGGGCAAATGACAAAGTAAATTAAGTCCAAAAAAAGGTGACCAAGGGAAAATTCCAAAGGAAAATTAAATGGGCTTGAGGATGTGTGGACCAGCATACACATTCAGCTGTTTATTGAACTAAATCTGTTTCCATATTTGCCGTAGCTGCTTTCTCCAGAAATATACTTGGGTTTTTCATTAAGTGTGTACCTGTGTCTGTTTTCTTTCAGTGCGGATGTTTGTGATAGTTTTGTTAAGGGGTGGACTATGTCAATACATTCTATTGCATTATTAGTTTTGTCAAACAATGGGATATTTGGTTGTTTGCGTGGATTTTTTGATGTATTAATGTGGCTTTAGCACAAGCTGTGACAGTTATTTTTTTTCAAAAGCCTTAAGTGTGTGCTTGTATTACTAAAGTACTCTATGTATTAGTCCACATTTCAGAGCTACTGCTGATATATCATCTTATCTACATTATTGTACTTCTTGGTGAAATTCACTTGTAGTTACCTTCTGCTCACTTCTTTATTTTACTTGTCCTGTGCAATAGCGTCCACTTCACTAAGTGAATATATTTTATGATCCTAATTTTGGAGTGTCAGTCTATTTAGATCCCATTATAAAAACTATTGGGAATAGTAGGGTTTGGTTATGATGATGCAATTTCTATGCATAACCATTGACTACTAACATTTACTGAGCACCTATGATGTTCCAAGCCACATGGGCAAGCTTTGAACATACAAATGTCCTCAAAGAACCTACAATCTAGTGGGGGAGAAAGGATACCACTAGACAAATAATCCTATTTTGCAAGACCTAAAGAGGAAGGTAAACCTATACCAAGCTTTCTAAAGTATGCTTTTTAATTTTTTTTTTTTTTTTTTTTTTGAACGGAGTCTCGCTTGTCGCCCAGGCTGGAGTGCAGTGGCCGATCTCGCTCACGCAAGCCCCCTCCCGGTTCACGCCATTCCCGCCTCAGCCTCCCGAGTAGCTGGACTACAGGCGCCCCCCGCGCCCGCTATTTTTTTTTTATTTTAGTAGAGACGGGTTTCACCGTGGTCTCGACTCCTGACCTTGGATCCGCCCGCCTCGGCTCCAAATGCTGGATTACAGGCGTGAGCCACCGCGCCCGGCTGCTTTTTAATTGAAATATGTTTTAAACTCAGTAGATAAAAGAAATACCGGAGGCCCGGCACGGTGGCTCAAGCCTGTAATCCCAGCACTTTGGGAGGCCGAGGCGGGTGGATCACGAGGTCAGGAGATCGAGACCATCCTGGCTAACATGGTGAAACCCCGTCTCTACTAAAAATACAAAAAACTAGCCGGGCGAGGTGGCGGGCGCCTGTAGTCCCAGCTACTCGGAGGCTGAGGCGGGAGAATGGCGTGAACCCGGGAGGTGGAGCTTGCAGTGAGCCGAGATCGCTCCACTGCACTCCAGCCTGGGCGACACAGCGAGACTCCGTCACAAAAAAAAAAAAAAAAAAAAAAAAAAAAAAAAAAAAAAAAAAAAAAAAGAAATACCGGATATGTGGGAGTAGATGTGCAGAAATGTTTTGAGAGGGAGTTATTTATTCGCATGTCTAGCTAATGGGTGATAGATGTGGTTTGAATGATTATTTGGGGTTTGGAGTAGGAATGGTTTAGGAAACTGGTGCTCAAATCTTGGTCTGCAGACCAGCAGCATCAGCATCACGAGGGCACTCCTTAGAGATGCAAATGTTTGCACCCCCACCTCCCCAGACCTACTGAATAGCACTTCAGGCCATTCTGGTACATGCTAAAGTTGGGACCCATTGGTTTATATCAGGGTAAGTACAGTATTCTCAACCCCAAATGCACATCACCTGGGGAATTTTGTTTGTTTATTTGTTTGTTTGTTTTAATATCTATGTCCAAGCCCCTGCCTCAAACCTATTAAGTCACAATCTCTGGGATGGAACCCTGAACATAAGCATTTTTTAAAAGCTCCCCAGGTAATTGGACTATGCAAACAGGTTCAGAACTGTTGATTTAGGAAAAATAAGGAATTTTGTATGTTTAAGTGATCTATAAATCGGCCCTCCTGTCATCAACACCATGCATGTAACAATGTAACATATGATTACTTTTATTACAGTTTTGCACACTGTACTTTCAAAACTGAAACTTTACATGCCTTATACATTATGACTCCCCGTAAAGAACAAGAAGAGTTTAAATTGCACCTGCTTTAGAAAATCCAGGATGAATGCTTACTCTAAGAATGAATGTTACATCTTATTCAGGATTAGTTCTTGTAATCAGATAAGCTGGACACCATTCTAGAATCTGATGCCATCAGTCAGGACATGGAAATTGCTGCAATTACAAAGCACTTTTGGTTATGGTTTTTGCTGTAAAATGATTTCATTGTCATCACTGCTAAGATTAATCATGGATTTTTTTTCAAGTTGGCATCTTGCAGTAGTTTGGTGAATGCCAACCTTCCCCTTTCCAGAAAGTATCAAGTTCTAACAGCTGTGACTCCTGTCAAGGGATTCAGCAAGATGCCTTAGCCATCTGCTGGCTTCCTGCAGGTAACCTCCTGCCACCACATCTATCAGCATAGAGCTGACAAGCAGAAAGCAGCTTCTGAAATCTGCCCTCCATCTTGAAACCTTCTCTGCTGGCCCTTCTATTCTTTTTCTGCCATAATTACCTTTAGGCTGCAATGAAGAGAGCCTTCCTTCACCCCTGCCACCCTTTACCAGGGTGACCAACCATCCCTATCTAGCTGGGACAGAAGGGGCTCCTGGGATGCAAGACTTTCTGTGCTAAAACTGGGATGGTCCCAGGCAAACCAGAAGTTAGTCACCACACCTTTACCCAACAAGTCTGACCTCTTCTGCCTTTGCTGCATTTTTATAGCTCAGTGGTTCTCAATCTTTGGCATCCTGCAGAAGTTTGGTAGTTAAGATCTTGTTAAAACATAAATTGCTGGGCCCAAATCCCAGAGTCTCCGATTCAGTAGGTAGGGCCAGATAATGCCCATCTATCACAAGGGATGCTGATGATCCAGGGACCGCACTTTGAAAACCACTGCTATAGTTCAACATCTGGCAAAGAAAACACTAATTTCCTTCCACTATGAAGCTCAGTGTCTCATATTCTACTTATATTCCAACAGGTCTTCTCATTTATTGATTGCTGTACTAAGTATTTGAAACTGACACTAGCAGCAGGGATATTCAGCCCAGTCCTGGGAGCATGGTAGGTACTCGGCAAATGCTTATGTGGGTTCACTGAACGGTATCTGGTTATGCAATAATAGTCTCAAGAATGAAATGTGACTAACATTTTCCCCCATATCAATTAGACAAAAAACTAAGTCTCTCTATTCATTTCCTCCAACAGTATCTTTAAGATGCAACTCATTAAAGGTTAAACCATCTCATCTGTTGTTAGTGGTAATACAAATTTGTACCGCTTTCTTGAGAGAAGTTGGGTAAGACGCATTTCAAAACCCTCAAATGGGACACACCATTTGACACAGGAAATCCTCCACTTCTAGGAATTTACTCTAAAGAAATGGTCTCAGTTTTATACAAAAAGTCACAAAACTTATCAATACAGAGGGTTAACAATAGGGAAACAGCCGAAATGTCCATTAGGAAGTAATTAAATAAGGTGTTTTCTCAGTTGAACACTACACTCAATGACTTAGAAGAATATGTAATAAATGGAAAAAAAAATTCATGTTACAATGTTCAGTGGGGAAAAAGTAGTACTATTGGATGAGTCCGTAGTTAAACCGTAAAACATTTGTAGATAAATGTACATTTCAGTGGTATTCAACAAAAGTATTAACCATGACTATCTTTAAATGATATTAACTTTTTAAATTTTTTTAGTTCAGCTAAAATTTTTCTAGATTTTCTACAATAATTATGAACTACTTTTGTAATAAGGGTAAAAGACAATTTATTTTTTAAAGAGAAGACAAATGAGATTGTGACCATCAAGGTCAATCAATGAGATTTCTCCCTGACATCCTGTCTCCTGTTCCCATGGCTGGTTTTTAGGTTCCTATGCTCACCTCACCCTGGCTTACTTACATCCAGGCAGTTGCCAGTGAGTGCCCCACTCACACCCTGTCTTTAATCAGGGTGACTCTGATAATCATTTCATGCTTTCCTACTACCAGCCCTGCAGCCAACCTGCCCAGTGCAGTGTGTCTGAAAACGGCATTTAGAAATACCCTACAAGTGGCAAATTGCATCCTTACAGGCATTGGTTCTGGGACTTACCATGGTAACAGGAATCCCATGGGACTGCAGAGCTTTCCAGATGAGGCTACCTTTGTCCTCCCGTGATACTACCCAGAACACCATTCTCAGAAGCCTCCTTGGTTAGGCTTCAGAAACTGGGGGGCTGTATCAGGACCTCCAAATTCCTCAACTAGACCAGGACAAGAATGCCTTAAAATAGGTGTAGCAGGGCTGGGCATAGTGGCTCATGCCTGCAATCCCAGAACTTTGGGAGGCCGAGGCAGGTGGATCACTTGAGGTCAAGAGTTTGAGACCAACCTGGCCAACATGGCAAAATTCTGTCTCTACTAAAATATATATATTTTTAAAAAATAGCCAGACATGGTGGTGAGCGCCTGTAGTCCCAGCTACTCAGGAGGCTGAGGCAGGGGAATCGCTTGAACCCAGGCAGAGGTTGCAGTGAGCCAAGATCGCGCCATTGCACTCCAGCCTGGGTGACAGAGTGAGACTCCGTCACAAAAACAAAAACAAGTTGTAGCGGGTGTTCCACAACCTTGCTAAGTGCATCATCTGCCAATTTCGCAAACTACTCGAAGTTTGTTCATGACTTCACTTAACAAAACTTGTAAAATCTCAGTGTAAATTTTGGAAAGTAAAGCCTTTTAGGGGAGTATATCTAAATACTCCTTTTAAGCTAGCTTATGGAATAACCCCTCCTCCACTCTTCCCATAAGCTAAAGACCCAAGGAGATCACAGGCTTAGCCAAAAAGCTTGCAGAGAACAGCCCTCTTAGAAGAGGCAATAATGAACTGCTCGATGCCACTGCCCTTTTGGACATGAAATCAGTAGGACTTGGGGACCATCTGAACTACTCACTCTCACCTCCTGGCTGCCCTACATTCTATAATATCTTGTTTCCATACCAGAAGAGAAACAATCCCCCAACTAGTGAAAGAGCAGCATGGGTGAGGGGATGATATAATAATGATTATTCTAACACATTTATATCTTACCCTTAACCTTTTCAGAATGTGTTCATGTATATCATCTCATAGCTATTTTTTATTTTATTTATTTATTTTATTTTTTTTTGAGACAGAGTCTCATTCTGTCACCCAGATTGGAGTACGGTGGCACGATCTCAGCTCACTGCAACCTCCGCCCTTAGGTTCAAGTGATTCTCATGCCTCAGCCTCCCGAGTAGCTGGGATTACAGGCACTGGCCACCATGCTCAGCTAACGTTCGTATTTTTAGTAGAGACAGGGTTTCACCACATTGGCCAGGCTGGTCTTGAACTCCTGGCCTCAAGTGATCCACCCACCTCAGCCTCCCAAAGTGCTGGGATTACAGGTGTGAGCCACTGCACCCAGCCTATCGCATGACTGTAATTCTCACATTTCCTATCCAGTTTTGAACAGTGTAGTGTGACGATAAACAGGATGCAATCAGATAAGCTGGGTTATACTCCCAGTTCTGCAATGTGCTAGTTGTGCAGTCTTTTGCAAGTTACATCACCTCTCTGAGCTTCAGTTTCTTCTTCTGTAAAATGAGCCCATAATGCCAAGTTTATAGAACTACTGTGAAGATTACAGATAACATACATTAAAGTACCTGGCAAAATGCTTGGCATATTAATGGTTTCTCAGCAAAGTGTAGCTGCACAGAACAGTTATAATCTCTATTTGATGGAAGTCTTGTAAAGCCCTAGTGGAAAGGTTAGAAAATTACAGTAGTCCCCTGCCTTGTCCTTAGGGGATATGTTCCAAGACCCCTGGTGGACACCTGAAACCTCAGATAGTACCAAACCAATACACACACGTACACAATGCACAAATTTATTTTTCCTCCGCAACTTCATGTATCGAAGATTTGTTCTTACTGTAGATCTTAGCAACCTCAGTATATGATTTCTTTTAAAATTTCCTTAAGTGGAGAACTTTCACCTTCGCACTGAAAGGAAGCTTCTCTTTGGCATACCTGAATTGCCAGCATCACTACTCTTATGCTTTGGGGTCATTATTAAGTAACATAAGGGTTACTTGGGCACAAGCACTGTGACAGTTGATCTGATAACTGAGACAGCTACTAAATGACTAACAGGCAAGAAGCATATACAGCATGGATACACTGGACAAAGAGATGATTCACGTCCCAGACGGCACAGAGCTGGACAGCAAGAGATTTCATCATGCTACTCAGAATGGCACACAGTTTAAAACTTACAAACTGTTTACTTCTGGCATTTTCTACTGAATATTTTCAGAACTTGGTTGCCCCTAGGTAACTGAAACAATGAAAAGCAAAACCATGGATAAGGGAGGATCACTGTGCTATCTGCATTATCTTATGCAGTTATTTGAGAATCATCTCCTAGAATTTGATTTATCCACTTCCTACTCCTCCTCACCCCTGTCATTGCCTAAGTTTAGGCCCTCCCCGTCCTTCTCTTGAGTCATTTGCAAAACTCCTAACTGGTATTAGTGGCTGCAATCTGTCCCTCTCCAGGCCATGATCTCTAATATTAGGATTAAGGAAGTTGATATGGTTTGGCTGTGTTCCCACCCAAATCTCATCTTGAATTGTAGCTCCCATAATTCCCACATGTTGTGGGAGGGACCCAGTGGGAGGTAATTAAATCATGGGGGCAGGTTGTTCCCATGCTGTTCTCATGATAGTGAATAAGTCTCATGAGATCTGATGGTTTTATAAATGGGAGTTTCCCTGCATACACTCTCTTGCCTGCCACCATGTAAGACATGCCTTTGCTGCTCCTTCTCCTTCCACCATAATTGTGAGGCCTCCCAGCTATGTGGAACTGTGAGTCCATTAAACCTCTTTCCTTTATAAATTACCCAGTCTTGGGTATGTCTTTATTAGCAGTGTGAAAACAGACTAATACAGAAGTAAAACTTAAGTTATTTGTGCCCCCCTCCCCCGACAAAAACTATACTAGCTCTCTCTGGCCCATTCTTTGACACGACCCACAAAGCCTTCCTTCCGCATATCATCTCCCATTATTCCCTTTGCGGTCTCTTCCACCAGTGTAAGCTGTGCCCCAGCATTTGTGGCCATCTCACAGCCTGTTCTGTGCTATGTTCAGCCATGTCTGCTGCCTTTGCATCAAACAACAGTGCTTCTTCCTGAATGCCCTAATCTCACTTCTCTGCCCAGAGAAATTTCTTTTTCTTTCCAAAGTCCACTCAAACATCAGTTTCATTGGAAATCCAATCTTGACTCCCCAAGGCTTAACTGCCCCTCCACTGTGGCTCCCAGAATGCATTGCACACCCTTCTGTTGCACACTCACCATGATGTCCTCTAAATGACCTGGTAACAAGTGTCTCTCTCCCAGCTCCTCAAAAGCAAGGACTAATAGCTAATGTTTATTGAGTGCCTACTATGAACCATACTCTATGCCAAGCATTATATTCATATATATACACATATATAAACACATATATAGTAGTAACCATCCTATAGGGTTAAGATTAAATGATATTATATATAATATTAACATATAGAAGTTATATATAATTTAATATATACTTATATATTACATATTGATATATATTATATATTATATTATATATTATATGTATAATTTATAATATATAAATGTATATTAATATTAGATATAATTAACATTTATTATTATATATTAATATCATATATTGTATATCTAATATTAGATTATAAAATGTCATACTAGATAACATTAGATATTATATATATAGTATCATTTAATCTTCACAACAACCCTATAGGATGGTTACTACTATTATCGCCATTTTACTGATAATTAAACTGAAGCTTAAAGATGTTAAGTAACTTGCCCAAGGTTGCAAGTTATTAGTGGCCAAGCCAAGATTCAAAATCAAACTGTCATACTTCAGAGCTCACACTCTTAACCACTACACCACACAATGTTATATACCCTCCTACCAAACTCAGTTAGCACCTGGGCATGCTCTAATAGCTTTATTAGTTACCTCTTGCTGTGTAACAAATCATGACATTGTTGCTATCTCCCCATCTCTCTGGGTCAGGAATTTGGAAACAGCTTATTTGGGTGGTTCTGTATCAGTGTCTCGGAGGTTGCAGCTAAGATGTCAGCCTGGGCCACAGTCATCTGAAGGCTTGGCTGTCCTGGGGATCTACTTCCAAGATGATGCACTCACATGGTGCTCCTAATGGGCAGGGGGCCCCAGTTCCTTCACATGTGGACCTCTCTGTGAGCTCCCTGAATGCCCTCACAATGTGGTGGTTGACTTCCTCCAGAGTGAACAATCCAAAAAACATGACCCAGCCTCAGAAGTCGTAGTCCAGAATTTCCCATAGCATCCTATTAGTTACCGTGGTAAGCCTTACTCAGTGTGGCAGGGGACTGACTGGACAGGGGCATGAATACCAGGAAGTGAAAATCACTGGGGCCTTATCAAGTGAAAAAGTGGAAAAAAATTACTAAGAATGCTCTGAGTGTCAGGATCTCTTTTAGGTAATGAGAAATTTGGATGAGGTGACCACTAAGTTTCTTTCTAGCTCTAAAAACAATGGAAGATTACTCTCAAATTCTATATATGAGCCTTATTTTCCCATGTCCCCAAATGCAACATCAAGTGGATTCAAAGATTTAATTTCATTACATTCCAAGAGAAGCCACAGGTGAGTATTTGCTAACTTAGCTTTTACTTTATGGTTTCAGGTAGAGCCAATGAAGTATGAGAAATTCTCCCAGTTTGAAACACAGTTATATCCTTAACAGCAAAACAAATCTATGTTTGATTTCCAGATTAGTTCCATAATTCGATGCCAGCATAAGCCCAGCCTCTGGACAAAGGCTTATCTTCTTTAGCAGAATATCTGTGATTAAACTGAGGGAAAAAAATCCCTTGTGTATAACAGCAAAGATAATAAAATCATTGGTTTTAGCCCTTAGGCCATGCTTGTTTTCAAGCCAAGATCTTATCTGTTTAAAATACTTCTTTAACTTGATTTGAGATGTATGAAAATACAAACTAAATACTTAAATGAGGTGCTTTTCAAATATTCATTGATATTGAATACTTAACATGAATTTTCTTCTAAAGATCAATCTATGTTAGTAGAAATGAAAACCAAATATGAGCTGTTCATTCTTCCCACCACTACCACTACCTGAATAGATCCAAAGAACCATGGAAGCTGAGTCAGAACATTCCTCAATGGCACACTGGAGCCCATTCTC